GTACATATATGGTAAAACTGTATACATCCGTCACTCCAAGCTATACTTACCGTAGTATCGTACATGACATTCCACTGTTTCCTCCGTGTTGCCGATACAGCCTTTGTCAACGTTGGGTTCACCGCCAAGACATTCCCGTTGTCTGGTACGTGTTCCGTCAAAGACAGTGATTCCATTTTTTCTTGGAGTGCATGGCGAACCAACTCCACGTGGACCAATCTGAAAACAATATGATGGTAAAACTAAGTCAATGGTCAAGTTGGTTGACATTCATTGAACAATATCAGTGGCGGATCCAGTAAAATGTATTGGGGGGGGGGGGGTCCAAGCTACACTTAAGATATACGGAGCGTAAATCGCAGAGAAGCTATGCGTAATCCAGATGATACGAATCGTCATGCGTTTGGGGGGGCCATCCCCCCCCCGGATCCGCCACTGGCCCCCGCACCACTTCTTGTTGATATCGCCATAAACCACTACTATAAAAGCATTAATTTCCATATTTGATTCATTGGGTTTTTGATTCGTGAATTGTATAGTGCAGCAAGGTGTTATAGTGTGTTGTGAATTTCCAATTATCAGCGTAAATCGTTCCCCGTATGACGCAGTACATTAGATGGAAGGGTCACCTTTGTTTGTTTGTTTATTTATTGCATAAATTTTAGTAAATAATTGGTCAAAACTTGTCAGCACCAACGAGAATTATTATAATCTCATTAAACTGGCTGAACGTGCTATTAATAACTAATTCACGCAACGCTTCAAAAATACAAAAACGTTTTTTTGGGGCGAAATACAAAATCGATGTCAGGCATTCTCCGTATCTTTTCATGCAGTTGTAGTTACTGCATTTCTAACAGCATTGCTATCATCAACAATCGATGCACGATCCATAATATACTGCAACACCGGAGCGCGTCACGTCTATGATCCAAGGGAGAGGAACGTGGACAAATTCAGAATCAATTGTTACTGGTTATGGCTAGTTTACGCTTGTTTGCGTTAGTATGCAGATTCATATTGCTCCTTGTCTTATGCATGTGGGGCACGGCCAGTGTAAATAATATGCCCGAATCATGCCAAGAATGCGTCTGATCTTGCCGAGTGTCACTTCATATAAGGGTTTACACTCCCTCCAGCTACCAATCTTTAAAGACACTTTGAGCGAAATATTACTACCAATGCTTGATTACGGAAATAGGTTAAATAAACGCCATCACGTGACTATATAACAAATTATCATTTTTTATGCAGGCTGTTGCCATCGAATGAGCAGACTCTACGTCATCATGAATATTTAGCCGCCCATGTCTAGTGGGATGGCCGATTATAAATAGCACAGCCGAGTTCAGTGAAAGGTTGTACATGGTATCACTCGACAACGACGACTTCATGCAGCAGCCACAGAATTGTGTGGGCGTTCGGAACTGGTTGAGCTGTAAAACGCAGAAGACAGTCTCCGTTTTTCGCGATTTTTTCGACCTGCTCACATACTCTTGCATGAATCCGACGACTCACAACGCGAACACCATGGTGAACTTACATTCTAGGACGCTTGTGGTGGATTATATATTTTATAGACTCAACAGTCGGGGTTTGGAGTGGCCGACATGTCCTCGGCTATCACCCCCAACCAAAGTCAATTTTACTATGAGAGCACTCGGCGATGAGTTTGAAACAAGGTACCGGGATGTTTTTCAGGGAATGTGCGATCAGCTGCATATAACACCGAGTACGGCGTATCCGACATTCACGGCAGTTACTAATGAATTGTTCACGGAAGGAATTACATGGGGCCGTGTGGTTGCGATGTACGCTTTTGGTGGTGCCCTTGCAGTTCAATGTGTTGACAGAGAAATGGCACAATACGTCGACCGTGTTGTCGACTGGATAACGCAGTACACGGACAATAATTTATCGCAATGGATATCAGAAAACGGAGGATGGGTACGTACACATTTTTATTTGGGTTTACATCAATATAATGTAGTTGCTTGCGATTATACAACGACCGAGACGATCATTGATCACGTGCGATATTGACTGATTCACATTGAACGCGTTTCAGCTGTAAGTTGTAGGCTGCATAGACATTGCTATTTTTATGAATGAAAATTTGAAATTTTAAGCACGCGCGATAGAGGAAGTGTAAATGTCACTGAAATGGAATTTTGTACATATTACTCTCTCCAAATCTCCTTCATTTTTCATATCAACGTTTTCTCTTTTTTTGTTATTTTTAGCGGCATAAATTTACCTTTGTTCTTTTGTCTGAAAGGGTGACCGCTGGGGTATGGGGACACACTTGGGCGCGAACACTGAAAGACGTTGCCCCGTGGGTGGGTATTAAATACATGGAGTATACTCGGAGAACAACACAGAAATTTGCTGTTTTTTCAGCTTTTCAAAGATGATTTTACTGTGTAAATTAATTTTATAGGAATATTTTAGTGAATTTCCGAAAATTCCGGAAAATTCCCTGACCAATATGGCATCAGTTGTATTCCTGTTTCCTTGCCAGTTTAAATACCTGGCATAGGTACTTCTTTCTTTCTTTGTATTTATTCCCTTTTCCTAGATGAGCACTGTGGGTTTAGTATATTTTATAATTTTTGGGTTTTAAAAATGTAACATTTATTAAATTTATTTAATATTTTTGATAAAAAAAAAGCATATAGGCTATTTATGTAACCGACGAATGTTTGCGCTTTAAATAGACACACAATGGAAAATTTATAAGAACTGCAGGGAAAATACATTTTTATTACAATTTGCAGAATTTCCTAAAAACCATTATGGTTGTGTGGTGAATTCAAATTAAGGTAGCTTTTTTTTCAGGGGAAAAACATTTTTATCACTGATTTTCTATTTTAAAAATTATTTTAATGAGAAATATGTGTTTCGACTATAGCGTGCATATGCAAATGTGGCCTCATGATTCTATTAATAATGTTTGAAATTTTTTATAAATTCTCATTGATATATTGTATAGTAATGCATTATAAATGCTATATGTGGAGCCCACATGGCTGTGTCGTGACTGAACTGTCTCAAATGACGTTTTAATATTTATCCGCTCAGTTATCATAAAAAATATTCACGAGGCCGGTTTAAGTATTTACTTTTAGTGTGCATTTTTTCTGTTATTGAAGTTCACTATTAATATCATTGGATTATTTTTTTTAAAATGCCAACTAATCAATATGCTCTTCAAGTTTCAGTATTGATTTTATTTGAGAAAAATACTGAAAACAAATTAAGTGATGTTGTTTTGTTGAAACCAATATGATTCGTATGACAAAGGTTTTTTTTTTTAGTTTATCAACCTCGCTGTAAAAAATTGTAATGAATTTGACTTCAACTGAGAGGCCATTTTGTACATTTAAAATTAAATACTAGTACTGTAATTCTAATTAGCATAAATTTGCATATGATTAACCATTTGACTGATGGAAGGTACTTTCGTTTTCGATAGTGTGACTGCCACTCATTTGCTACACAACGAGCAGTCTTTTTGTCTTCTAAGTAAACAGTTATATTTATAATGCGCGTTTCAAAAACATTGAGGGGAAATTATTATTAAACCAATTCTGCTTAAAATAAAAAGATGAATGTTTTAGTGAATTTATTATTTGTTGGCTTCTTTGAAAAGGGTCATCTGTAATTATTTTTTTGGGAAAACATATGAATTTGTATGGGGGAGGGGGGGATAAGTATGGTCTTTCTGGTGAGTTATCTTTGTACTGTCTAATAAATTACTTACCCATCTTTATATTGTGAATATACTCGGTTAACCATAATAATGATTCTGGCAAGTGACAAGAATGAGCCACTCTTGTTAAAAGATTTCCCACATCATGGAAACATTTAATGTCATTGTTGAGACTTTTGATAACAGTGGGTCAGTGGCTACAGTGAACCCAGAGACTCAATCTTGTACAGTTGCTAGGTTTTATACTAAAGCTATTTGCACTACTTTACAAATTACTGTTGTATTCATTCAGTTGTTCAAAATCCTATTCAAAATTCCATGCTCAAAATTCAGACTTTTTGTTGTGCCGTGTCCCTGGCCCCTTGTGGCATTCTAATTCATACAAGTTTCAGGGTGTTTTTAGGCAGACCTAAGTCTCTGCGTAAAGATTTGTTAAGATTTATACTACACTTAGAAACTGGGTATCAACCTAAAAACTGTGGCATTTGCCTTGGAATGCAGGATAACCTTACTGTGTAGGCTCGCCTTGATATCAGAAAATCTGTCAGCAGATGCCAGTGTGTAGAACTTACTCGGTATGACCACCAACACTACTCTTTAGTGAACTGTGTTTACTAACAAGCTAAATCTGTTCATTCTATTGACTTTCTCATTTTTTTTTTTTTTTTTGCAGAATGGATTAGTGCATTTTTATGAAGGAACGAGAGATAACCCTTCTAATTCATGGCCGTCAGGAAAGGCGCTCTTCGGTGTTGCAGCCCTTGGACTTGTGACTTTGGGTGCTACACTATTAACCAAGACGTAATTTAACTATGTATTTTAAAACATAGAGAAACCAAGTTATTTATTTATGTGCACTAGCAGTGGATATATTCATGTGTGCCAGCCAGAATGACTCCATGCCATGGTAATTACAGCGTGTCCTAGCAGGAATTGTGTGTGCTGTCGTCAATATGTATATTGTTGTATCAGCACATAGTAGTCATAGCAGAGAAAGGCATGGGAATAGCAATGCCCACCCACTCACTGTTAACCTGGGCGTTTGTGCCACAACGATTTACAGTCAGAGTGTTCCCTCTAAGCCACACCTGAACAGATTGCAAGGAGGATTCATTCGACTTTGACGAAGGCAGCGAGGCGAAGAAAAAAACTATCCATCTTCGAGTCATGGCTTGAAATAAACACTTCATGAAATCAAAACAAACAACCAAAAAACCAAAAAACAAAGCGTAGTATGTGTGGTATGCAAGAACTATAATAATATCACTATTGTTTTGTCGGTGTCGTCTTTCTATAATATTATATACTGTATAGCATGATGTATTTTATGGTATTTATCCCGTTTTGTTCATTTACAATTTTTTTTTAACCAACGCTGTTACCTGACCTATTTGCGGTCAACTAACGTATTTATATTTATGTGTCGAAAGTTCGACAAAGCCAGGGATATCAAAAATATTATACAAATTTAATTTTGAAAAAAATGTTGATGTAATTCTTTTCATAAAAATGCAAGGAATTGTAAAAATATTCATAGTTATCTTTTGTTTGGTGTTTATTCTGTTGTCAGGGTGGATACCAATGTTCCATATTTTGTATGCATCGTGAGAGGGTCGTTAACTAAGGTTATTGCAGTTGTAGTATGCATGCAGATCAGTGTGTAGTCTATCAACTTGCAAAATACCTGTCTCTATTCCGTTGTAAGTAGACCCCATTCTGATGAGAAGTCGTTTGAAAATCAGGATTACCATATTAATTGAAATTCACTGGAAATGTCATTTCTGCCTGTTGTTATCTCACTACATTTGAAAATAAAATTTGCATTATCAGATTTGACGTTTAACTTGCGCCAACAGGTTACAAGAATTCATTATTTATTTACCAGAAATACATATTAATTCTTAATCTGCTTGGAGGCTCTTATTGAGATTGACCTCTAAAATTAACCTCATTTGGAAAATCACCTATACTACATGGAAGTGGCATTTCCAACATTAAATGACTTCTCTGTTCCCTGCCTGACAACTATTATGTCTTCAACAACTTGAAACGTTGCACAAAATTGCCTGTTTTGTTCAGTGACCTTTTAAAAATTCAGCCCGCAGCCTTCAGGTAAAATCTTTAAAATAACAAGTCTTCATGTGATACTTTGAAGGAGTGGCAAGGTAAAAAGCAATCAATGCGTGGGTGGCTGTGTGTGTGTGAAGCATGATAGTTATTCAGTGAACAAATGAGCATCTTCAGTCATGACTGTGTACTGTTCAAGGTCATCCTCTGAGTTCAGTGACCAGCAAGGTGTACAGCACATGACCTTCAACCATACAGTTGTAACATAATATACCCATTATGACATACATTTGATATATATTTATTATTCATAAACTGAAATGTTTCACATTTATATTGACCAAATATTGAGAGGTTAAAAACTGCCCCCTCCCTGAAATATTGTTCGAGAATTTCGTAAATCTTCAAGCCCGAGAACTCACAGCTAATATTTTAGCTAAAAATAGCTCAATGTATTATTGTTGTTTTCCTGGAAATCTATTGTTAGTTGTGCAAGGATAAACTAATGCATAAACAGTTGGTTATTCCAGTCCTAATGACATCACTGTCAGTAGGTCAGATTGCTGTCTTGTATGTTTCACTGTTTGTTCAGACATTGCTTGTTTTTTTGTTTTTTTTCAAAAACACGACAATGAATCAGTAGTTAAGTTAATGACCTACCATAAAAAATCTGAACTAAAATCCCCCCCCCCCCCGTTTTTATTTACTAGTATTTAAACATGTTTTGTGTGTTGCATGACCCTTGAAATTATGCAAATGCTGCATTGAATAGGTATTTATTTAAAGTAAACAGTTTTATGAGTTGTTTTGATAATTAGGCAACAGCAGCCATAGTTGTAATGTACACCAGTGACTGACCTCCCACAAGGTTTCCTTGCCCTGTATGTGATTTTTCAAATGCTGTGGGTGTGCCTGATGGAATGTCAAATATGCACAGGGTGTTTTGTGGAGTAGAGGGACCTAGTCCTGAGTTGATCAATCAGTGGTGTCTCCTCTTCTGTGATATTAATTCCCTGCCCTGTGAAATTTGAACTTGAACTCTACATTGAGAATTCAACAGCTGTATTGAATTGAATAATTCATCATTTTGAGATTGACAGCTATTTTCCAAGGTCTATGTGTGGAATTCATATAGAGGTACTCTATGTAGCTTTTTTTTTTCAACTCCTTTCTCAATCTTCTCACTGGTTGCCATGGAGACAATGTTGGGAGAAGGAAAGGTGACAAATTTATTGCATTATGAAAGACATTGTTGGAAATAATGCTGTCTGTTAAATGTCACATTAACTTGTTTCATTTGGACAAAAATTCTGTTTGACATGTATGGTGCAATAAAAGAAGTGATAGGCATGTAGGTAACCATGGTAACATCCATTAGGTGTAATTTCGTTGGAGATCTGAAATTTTTCTATTACAATTAATTACACCTATTAAATATGTACATTGTGAAAGACCATTAGAGCCCAGTAACAAATGCTATGTATGAAGCTTAGTTGGTCATAGCTATCCTACTTGGCCTAAGTTAAATGGCTGGTAATTTATTGACCAATTTGTCATATAAACTTGGGTTAGATATAAAATAAAAAGAACACTTTGTTAATTTCATATCTTTTCTTGGGAGGTCAGACTGATTATTAATTAAGTGGGCTATTTCCCATGCAGCTAAGGAGTCTAGACTATGTAATACACAAGTTTGTCATCAGAAACTGATTTTATTAGCGGAAATTCATGGAGAATACTTTTATAGAGTATTTTAATTATCATCTGGTCTTTATTCATTGTCAGATTAGAAATGGAGGTGGGAGAATATAATGAAAATGCTTGTTTACTTCTTGTACTGTCAAGTCAACTTTGCATATCTAATCGAGTGACGATTACTGACCTAAAGGGAAATAACCAAATTCGTGCAGAAATGTTAAAAGCTTTGTTGAAAAATCTCATTTTTATCATGCTTTTTATGTTGTGTTTTTATTAGACCACCCGGTTACTTTATAAAGATAAATGATCTATTAAATGTCTTGTTGAAAGCATAGTTGTAACTAACTTGTATTATATTGGATTGGATTCATGAAGGGTAGCTAAACTGGCTCGGCACAAAGAATGCTGTCAAAGATAGGCCATGTATTTCATCGCTGTTCAATATTTCATTACTGTGCATGTGATATGCTATAGTTACTATATCACCAGTGTCTTGGCAGGGTTTCAAACCCGACCAATGCGTAGCTCCATTGTTCAGATCCCATATCATAGGAAATTGTTGAAATATCCCGCCGTATGTCTGGCTACAAGGAATGGCATTGCCAACAACAGTGTGTTGGACCGTTTTCAACTTCTCTTGAAACTCCATAATTGGCTATATAGTTGTTGCCGCACCCAGGCATTACACGTTTGTTTGTTGATCTCCTCAATCCATGCACATTTAATGAGGACAAGCTCAATTTTGAGTGTTTAGAGATCCTAGATTTTGGGATAAACTTACCCACCTTTTGATTTTCATAACACAGATATAGAATGTTTCTTCTTCGTTTTACATGTATGACAATATCACTATACAATGAATATTGGGGTAGAATTAGGTTGCAAATAATTTCTATTTTTAAACGCGTTAAAACGATCGTTTATATGTAAAAGCTTACTTTTACTTAAAGGGCAGTTGCAATACTGCATATTTCCAAGAATGTTCACCATTGCTTGAATTATGATGTTTACTTTTCTAATTTATTTTTTGGTTTATATCAAGTTTTAAAAGTAAGATTCAGTAATGCATTTTGCAATTGTACTGTTTCCATAGCTATATCATCATCATGTAATTATTTAAGCCTAGGTATACTACTATAGACAAAATTATGAGTTTAATATTTGTTTTTCAATCTTTTAAAGCATGTTTTTTTATTTTTCTCATTAGAATGAGTCTAGTCATGTTTCTAACGTAATACATTTCTTTCATATTGTGATGACATTATTCACCAACAACATAATATAATCCTACTTGGAAAGGTCACACAGGGTCATGTTCAACTTTAGCGTTTCTCACACCAGTGGTTTTCTCAACAACAATTAAGTAAAGCAAATTTCTGACACATTTTCAGTAACAAATGAGTAATTTCTGTCAGCCCAGTGGAAAAGTTTTTCAAGCATTCTGTGCAAAAATAACTATTTCTGTTGGGGTTTTGGCAGGAAAGTGATAGCTGGTTTGCAGCTGTATTACACTATGTAGTTTGGAAAGTTCATCTTGTCTTATCTACCAGTTTATTGTGTCTATATATTATAATATAATATATGTATATTGTATGTAAATAATGTCATAAAAAACCCTATTATATATATAAAGGAAATACATTTAACAAAAGACTGCAAGTGGAAAGAAAAATATTAATAAAGAGCAGATTTTCTCCAAGTGTCTGGTTGTTATTGTCTGTTTGCTTTAATTCCTTTCCATATGAAATCTAGATCAGTTAGGAAATTAAAGGCCCAGAAAAACATTTTTTTTTTTCATAGGATTCAAATTTTTCCTTTATTTTTTTCTATAATTATGTCAAAAAACCTATTGAAATGCTGTGACGAATGATGACCAGAAACATGGATATGAAAATGTGATTGTTATTTTGAGACAAGTGAATTTACCGGTAATAACATCCCACTTTTATACTTGTTGCAACAAAGGCATTCTCTGCATCCTTATAAATATTTATAATTCAACCAACCAAATAACCAGTACAGGCAACAAAACCATTTAAAGATGTTATTCAGATGGGCAATAACAACCTCTGGTTTCAGTTTGAATTGTGAAATTTATAAATGAAGAAGGAAATACCTCTGTTATGCCGAGTATATCAAGCTAATAAAAAAAATGTATAATTGGAGAACCCAACCCCCCCCATATTAGCTCTCATTCTCACTGCATATCATGAGAGAGCTGAGAAAGTTTTCAGCTGGTTAACTTTGGCAGACTTTACTTGTGATTTCCGTGTACAGCTTTCTATCTGATGAAAGTACCATATCATAAACCAAAAATAGCAATGTATACTGAGTCATTAAAAAATAACTTAATTTGGCTATAGACACACTTTTCATTTTTATGTACCAGTATATTACATGCATTACTAATGAAAAAAATATGGTATACATTTCTCTGTTATTATTTGCAAAGTATGATGGGATGTCACTTAAATACCATACATAATCAGTAGGAGTGTAGAGCCTTCATTATTGATAATGAACTTGTTGAAAAAAAGCACATAAGAAGCAGTAATAGAATAATTAAACTACATAATTTATTGAGTTGAAGGGTAAACATAGGAACCAATACAACGCAAAACCATCTAAAATCGTATATTGCATAACGCACATAAGAACATGTTTAATTTTTTTTTTTTATTTTGTCAATGGTATTGATATTCGCTTTACGGTGTGTGTTTTATTTGGAACAATTTGGTTGGTGAGTGAGATTTCCTACTAGCAATT